AGGGGAAAGGACTGGATCTCTTGATAAAGATTCTTGATAAAGAATTTGGTCTGGCCTTTATGATCTCTTGAAATATTAAACCAGCTTTAATTTGATCTGCCATAAAGAGGCAAATGTTACTTTAAAACAGATATGGGTAAAACATTTGCTTTTGCCTGTTTTTCTGGATGTGGGTGCCTGTTATTAGTAGAATAATAGTGTTTTAAAACTAAAGCCCAGTGGTTTTGATTGCCATGTGCAGCAGAAAGGTTTGATTGTTAGAGAATGGATGTCAAGTCCTTTCAAAATTGCTCAAGATGGGCACATGAAAACTGAGTCACCTACAATCAAGTTGAAAACCTGAGCAATATGCTTCAAAACGTGTATTTACTAAAGGCTTGCTTCCAGCTGAGAGAATACCACTATGATATGCATATGCACATGATAGGCTGCCAATGGTAAAAATCTTTTTTTTTTTTTTTAACGTAGATAGGATTTAATCATTACTTTCCACTGCAAAACAAATTAGTGGCTTAGTGACAGCTACTGTTTAACTTGGGTTTCTGTTGTCTGTTAACAAGATGGTTCAGACCTGTCTCTCAAAGTGATTTGGAATAAATCAATCTGGTTAATTTTAATATATTTGGGAATATTTACTGGACTCTTGACAATTGCTGATTCTGGAAAATGGGCAGTTTTATTGGCTTTAAAATGACAGAAAATTGACATCTCACCCACTGTTAAATGTGTCATGGAGCTGGTGTATTAGGAGATGAGAACATGATTGTCCTGTTGTTCACCACCTTTGTAAAGCCTGTTATGCTCTTGATCTATGTTTCGGGGAAAAAAAGATCCGGAACAGTCCAAATTCCTTCTTTGCTCCGTAGTGAGTTTGAAGCAAGAAATAAACTTCCAAGTCCCCAAGTTTCAAATGGTGTCAGTGTCTCAACCCTGGGTGGAGGGTTGCTGCTTGTCTGGGCTTTTGCACGAAAATATTTTTAGTATGTGGGGTAATCTAATAAAAGGCTTGGAAGCTTTTAATTTCCTGGGCAGAATATAAGCTGTAGCTGTTGGGGAAGATGTAAATAGGAACACAATGCCAAACAGAGCTTCTGTCCAAATGCTGCCATGACTTTGTCTTCAGGCCAAGTAAAGATCCAGCCCGGAGGAGAGGTGGTGCCTGTGTGGTTCAGCAGGAGAGAAGAGCAGCTGGTTTGTGGCGGCAAATTGCTGTGGGTCTTGCTACCTGCCGGAGATGGACACCAAATGCAGCAGTGGCTGCCCTGACTCAATTGCATCCTCCTGAATGCTTTTGCTCCCATTTGGGGAGGCCTGCCCTGCAGCTGCTGGCCTTACAGGGACCCCAAGTCGCCTCTGGAAATTTTGGCCCAGCAAGATGTAGATGAAGGGGTTCAGACAACTGTTGGCATAACCCAGGCTGATAGCCACATTGTAGGCGTAGTAGAAAGGCAGGGTGGGGCGAGTCATGGCAAGCTGGGCCAGTTGCAGGATGTGGAACGGTGCCCAGCAAATGAAGAAGGCCATGCAAATAGCAATTGCTGTACGGGTCAGTCTCTTAGTTCGAGCCCTGGTGCATCTCTGGCTCATCAGTGCTTCTGAGGACCTGACCATCTTGAGCAGGATCCTCCTGTAGGCCACTGTGATGAGGACAAAAGGGATGGCAAAGACCAGGAAGAACTGGTAGAGAGTGTACCAATAAATGTCCCTCTGGGGGTCTGGCAGTTGAATCCCACAGCCTAGTAGACCTCCAGGCAAAGGGATGAGCTGAGCATACAGCCACACAGGTGTAATGCTGAGGAAGGAAAGGGCCCAGAGTACGCAGATGACAAGGATTGCCACAGGGGGCTTCCTGAAGCGAGTGGAGGTGAAGGGGTAGACAATGGCCAGGTAGCGGTCGATGGACATAGCAGTGAGGATGTAGGTGCTGGTGAACTGGCTGTTGGCATCCAGGGCAGTGATGATTGTGCACATTGTCTCCCCGAAGTGCCAGGCTCCATTTCCCAGCAACTGGTGGATGAGGAAGGGCATGCCCAGAAGGAAGAGCAGGTCCACCATGGAGAGGCTGATGATGAAAATATCTGGGACACTACTGCTAGGACCAGATTTCTTTAAGACTGTACAGATAACCAGGCTGTTACCAATAATGCCCAACAGGCAGATAATACCAAACAGAGTGGGCATGATGAAGCTGCCATAGCTCATCCTGCTGGAGTCGCCTGCAGAGACAAGGGTAGGCAGAAAGAGTCAGCTATGCTAGGACCACTGGTGAGGACATGCCTTGTAGACATTCTGGCTTCTAACAAACAATGAGTGCTCTGGATGCAAACAAAACTGATTTCTTAAGCATATGTAAGATGAAGTGCTTTGTGTGGGTGGTTGTGTCTAACCACACACAGGCACTTTCTCCGCAGTTTTCACAAATGCATATATGTTAAAATGTGTCTAATCAAATGTGCATATACCTACTCTTCCCTTCATAAACACAAACACACATTAACATAGAATGAAAGCAGCAGGATGTATATCATTCCAAGTATGTGTATTTAGACACTTTCAAATGCATACATGTATAATATGTTTCAATACATACATTCATACCTCTGATATGTGTTGTTCAACTATATGGATAATAATACCTCTATTCAGGCTTTCTTCAAAATCATTTCATGTAAGTTAATTTTTTTTTCTTCCCCCCCCTGCTTACACATATTATGATATACTAATGTATATTTTTTACTTACCAGGCAGAGAAAAGTTTTGAACAGCCTTGGAGCTGTTTGGGATGCAGCTGTTCAAGCTCTCAGTGTGATTTGTTTTAAAATCCATCCTTCAGGAAAATTTGGTCTCCATCAGCAGGTTGAAGATGTTAGTGTTTCACGTTGAAAGAATAAAGGTTGCCGATTCCTTGGAGATCTGTGGGGCTGCTCAGAAAGTCACTGCTCTGAGCACCAGCAGAGGCTGTTAATGCAGGTTAAAAAGCAGCTCCTCTGCTCCTTGCACCACCACCAGGCAAAAGTAACACCGGGACTGAGGCAGTGCCTGTCACCAAGCTGGCAGCAGAGTGCTGGAAATGTGCTTGCAGGGAGAGCAGAATTTCATTTTAGTGCTAAAAGCAGTGACTGAGATTCACTGACAGACTAAGCAATGAACTGGTGCTCTGGAGAGGCAAATGGGGCCTGGAAATAAATAAAATCCTCTTAACTAAAATGATGGGTAGCCAGTACTGAGAGCAGACTGTTTTTAGGGTCTCATTGAGTATATATAGCTCAATATTTAATTCTGCAAAGAACCACGTTAATCTAAAGTTAAGTTTGCAACAACATTTGCAAGTATAGATTGGGGTTAATCTCTTTAGATTCTGATGCAAGATCATCCTAAAGGTGAAAATGTACAAACTCTGTAAGTATGCAGAAGCCAGTATTTTCTGCCTGTGCCTGGTTAAGTTGCAGCACAGATGATAAACAGCACCATTATCTCCCTCCTGTGAAGTGCTTTCTCCGTTTCAATTATTTTGAGGTCTCAAGCACAGTAATAGAGTTATGTATGTTTCATTTTAGGCAGACTGATGGAAGAGAATAGGAGATAAACAAGGGCTTTATTTTCAAGGTGTATTTGAAATGATAGCAGTTCAGCATGTAAAAAAGGCTGGAAGTATTAAATAAATGAGGTGGTGATTGTCTTATCAAGTCACACTAATCTCTGCCTTATTTCCTTCATAACCATTGGTCTGCTCTTAGCAGCCAGTAAATGCCTAGATTGAAGGCACTACTGCCTAGAAAACGTAAGGTTTGGAAAGGAAGAATAGACTCAAACCGTGTTCTGGGGTAGTGGGGGCCAGTAGTCTGGTGAAGGGTGAGAAGGATTCTGTAATGACTAGAATGCTATTTCAAGGCTCACTTTTTGCTAGTCATAAGGATTTCTAGCACTTAGTTATTTCAGCACCTTCCAGCTCTTAAAAGTAGGCACCAGCCCATCTGCAGAAGGGATAATGTATTCCATTTACCAGCCAGTGTAAAATGCCTCCTTTGCTGCAATGCCCTGGACATACTGTCTAGCTGCAGTCTCTTTGTTTGCAAACACCTGTATATTTAGGGGTTTTGCAGTCTGATGTATGCACTATGTTGTATTACCTACAGCTGTGATGTGCATTACCATACAACTGTTAAGAACAGGGTTCTACACACCCCCATGCCTCCTCACCTGCTCTAAACTGGCAGAGCTCTTCTGTAACTGACAGCACAGCTGCAGATTTGGTCCTTAAGTGGGGATACCAGCCACGTGAAAATAAAAAAAAGTACATACGTTCATGTTAAGTCTTTGTTCCATATTTCAGATGGATTTCTCCAAGCTGTATGTCATGTAAACAGTATCACAGCACTGGCTTTTCTTACGAGGAAAGTAGAGAAAGTATTTTTTCTGTTTGTTTGTTTTTTCCCTCTACCACTTGTATACTACTATCAACTGGAAGTTGAAAAACATTTGGTTGGGATAAAGCTTTGACGCACCTGAAAAAAACAAACATTTAATCTTACTAACTTACTAAGAGAAATCTCCTGCTACAGTCTCCATTCTGTAAATCCTTCATGTGTAAGTGGAATTTAGTAAATACTAGAGTCCTTTACAAACCAGCAACAGGCCCTGCCTGTCTCCTGCAGACAGTAACACTCTACTGCTGACGTGTGGGGCCAGCTTATCACTACAGCTGAAAACATTACCACCAAGACTATGTGGAACAATTATGGCTCAGATAAACTTTTGACTCCACATCAAACAGCATGTTGGTTCATGAAAAACTGGAGAATTACACTAATTTATTTCTTAGGATTCTGCACTTCCTTTACAGGCATGGGAAGGGGAGTAGCTGCAGTTCACCAACAATGTTAAAAGTATTTCGTCTGGTCAGTAACTGAGGACAAAATTCAGCTCCAAATGTAGCCTTCCTAGAAGTAAATCTGGAAAAGTCGTTTTTATTGTAGAATCAACAGAATAACAAGAAAACCTGGTTAAACAAACAGCACTTTATTAAACTAATACAATTAGGTATTTTCTTAATGCTTCAAAATATTATAGCATTTGCAAAAATGAAAAAAGTTTAAATAACATACAAGAAGTTACAACTGAGAAGCAAACCAGGCAATTTAAACACCTAAACAAATATGACAAAATGCAAGACCTAACTGCATAGTTGATTTGATGAGGCAATGAGACCAAGGAAAATATCCCTTCAGATTAACACAACATCTGAAGGTATATAAAAGCTTATACCATGACTTAACGCATGAAAAAAAAAATTTTCCTTGTATAATAAATATAAAGCATTAGCATGGTATGCTCATACTATTTTAACAAAGGCTGTTAAGGCTTAAAAATATTTTTTAACATTCAAAACACCTCTTTGGTGTTCTGAGCTTTAACACTTACGTATCAAAATGACCAACTGCTGCATACAGATTTAAAAAGATAGATCCAAAAAACCCATCCAGAACTCCAATAGCAAATGGCAAGCTACTACCTACGTACCCTTTCTTTCACATAATTGTCACTGAACAGTAGCAGTTATTATTACATCCCTTTACCAAATTCTGTGGAACATTCCATTATGCACATAGAGTTAATTAACATTGCAATGCACTGCTGCTTCATGGTTATTCTTAATATCAGTTTTACAGTGACAATGTAAGATGCATACTGATTTTTTCAGTTCCTGTAAGGAGTGCACAAAGGTTGAATGCTCAACAAGTAAACAATTACATTGCAAAGGTCAGAGTAGTACAGTTAAGTGCCTATGAAGGAAGTGGGGAGAAACCCACTTATTCATTCTTTCCATTATTGGCAGAAAGATCCAAGACAGGAGGACTCTTCTGTGCCAAACTGCCATTAACTTCTTCCTTCCTTATCTGACCCCTGTATATAGGAGAAAAGAATAGTTTTACAGTCTGTTCTTCCACCAGATTATTGCCTTTTTGCTCAAAAAAGCTGAGCAGTGAGAGCTATAAACATGCCTGAGACTCCTGGAACATCCACTGCCCATCTACCAGAGCTTCTCTCAAGACACAAGAATATAAAAAGAGCAGATACCCATTTTAGCATCAAAGCTGTAAGTCAGTATGACTGGTCTGTATGTTGGGTTGTGTATTCTGATGTTACGGAAAAAAAAAAATATTTTCTAGAATTGGTAGGCAATGTTATGGACCTGGCAGGATGCCCTGGAGGAGCACTACAGAGCCCTGGAACAAATGTGAGCACACTGGTCCTTGCACAATGGTCTTGTCATCCTGACAGTATCGCAGGCTCCACAGGCAGTCTGGTGTGTCCTTAAGATGAAGGAGCAAACTAAGAAAGTCTAGGAGCGAGCAGCTGTAATTTATCTTCTTGCTCTTCCCTATGCTTAAGAAGTGATTATCACTATTCATTCCCTGGTAGATATTTAGGCGGACAACAGGTGGCACTCCAGCACAACCTGCGAGTGCCTCCTAGTCCTGGCCAGAGGCTTGGCAAAGGCGTGGCGGAGGCACTGCTGACTGGAACAGGCCTCCAAGCCTCAAGTACTGGGAGACGTGACTGGCAGGCAGCACATGTGCAGCATCCAGCAAACTTGTAACTTCTATTTTGGCCACACTGTCCCTTTTAAGTACCCCTTTGCCTGTCCCAAACCTATAACCAATTTTGGGCCATTACTCTACAAATGGAGGGAAGCAGAGATAGCTGGGCCACCACGCAGAAAGAACTGCAAAAGGTTCATCCTCTAGGCAAAGTCTGATTTGAAAGTGTTTTAATGATATTTAAAGTAACAAATACTCTGAGTGAGACAAAGTTGTATATTATTGCTTGATCTCATCTTAGGTTAGCACATGCACATTTAAAGACTATTTACATTTCTTCTTTCCTGAACAGGAAGGAGGGCATGTAGTAACTCTCATTAAAATATATATTGATGACTAGACATTTATATGCAGCACATTAAGCCAACAAGGTAGCCCAAGGTGCTCCAGCATTTGAGAAACATTTATTAAACTAAGCAACAGCGGCTCACTTAGAATAAATGAAATAACGAATGCAATAGTACAATTGCAGAGTTTGAAGTCCAAGCATAGATCAAGACATCAATACTCACCCTGAAGCATACCAATAGTTGACCAGAGTTGAAAGAACGACATAACAAACACTCAGTACTCCAGAAACCCCCAGTGAGAGCGCACCCAGGCCACACAGCACACAAAGGAGGGCTATGCCACCTGTGGCTATTACAACACCTAATAAAAGAAAATCACTTTGTTATTTAAGCAAGTTAATATACAAGTAAATTAGAAGAAGTGACATTCTACCACAACCCCAATTTCAAGCCCTTTGGGAAAAGGGTCTCCTGCAGTCAGCTAGCCAGCTACAAAAGCTGTGCATGTCAAGATAACTGGTTTAGGCATATCCTGGTGGCTGAGATTAGAGAGGGAAATAGGATTTCCCCTGTATAAACTACAATTAATCAGATTACTGTTCTTGTATTAGTTTCACTACTGCTGAGACCTGAGGACTACATACAAAAATCCTCAACTGCTTAACTGGGAACTCCAGAAGGATGAAGGAAAAAAGGAAGAGACATCATGCCTTACAAGGGAGTAAGTACATACGTGCATGCATGCGTACAATACCTTCCACGACTATCACGCCGATACAGGCCATTACGGCTGTCGTAACAACAAAAATCAGGAAAAATGCAACAGGAATAGCAGATACTGCAATAAACATCAGGACTGATAAGGCAACAAAAGGATGGTCACCTAAATATTGGCCAACACGAGAATTCATAAATGCAACAACCTGTGGATGAAAGAAAAACATTTCAGATTTCATTTTTATCTCGTCATAGATAACTTTTAGAGATTACTGCTACTTTAGCAAACTACAGGTAGCATCTTTTTGTAAGTCTGTAGCTTCAATAGAGGGCAGCTGTTGCCTCTATTTCAAAAGCATGGATTTTTGCAAATTTAGATAACTTCATAGCAAATATTATTCTACCAACGATAGACATGTTTCTCTCGGACTTCCCAATTCAGTTCTTGCACAAGTTAAAAAAAAAACAAACACAAAAACCACAACAAAAAACCTGAAAACAAGTTAAAAAAAAATGACAGTTTAACTGCACAGATTTCAGTCGGGTCAACAGCTATGACTTGGATCTAGAGAACTGTATTTGTTAAGAAAAAAATACAAAATTTTTAAATGTTAAGATTATTTTTCTTTTTTCCATGCCTCAGTAATATCTGCAACTTGCTCATTTATTGAGCATAAAAACAGTGCAGGCATGTCTGTATCACAAAGTTTTTAGGAATTTAATTTAGAATGTTACTGGTAGAAAAAATAAGTTTTTGTACAGCAGCAGTTATACACTAGAATTTTACTTTGGTAGAGACATTTCCCACACCTTAAGGAAATATGGATTGTAGTTTTAGGTTTTTTTACAGCAGCACAACCATTTCACTAAAATGCCACTCTACTATCTCAAATGGTTATACCAGTAAAACACAGAAACGCAGAACAGCCTTCCTTTTTTCTTGATTGCTAAAGGTGTGGGAGGACAGCCCTTCCTGTAGGCTCCTCTGTGTTCACTTAAAAAAGGGGAGTGAAAATTCCACACACACACCCCCAAGTTTTGACACTGCATTTAAATAAATTGGGGTGTGCTATTCCGAGAGTTATGACAGGAGGATCTTTATAAATATATAAAATTATAATCCAGACCCACATCTGAGTTGCTGTGGATGGACTGCACCACGGAGTGCCATTGCTTCTGCAGTTCTTGCATTTCTTTAGACATGTTGTAACTTCGGGCAGGATCGCAAATCTTCTGAACCACCAGTTTTCACTCAGCCATACAGTGTTCCTTAAAATTAAGCTACAATTAGTAAAAGGCTTATAGAGATATTTTTTGAAAATATGTCTTTTGCAAAAACAAAACAAACCCAAAGAATGTAGATTGGTCTAAAACATTGCTTTCACAACTCTAATGTGGGGGGCTTGTCCCTGAAACCTCCTCTGAAACTCCCAAAGCCAAGTATCAAGATACAAGGGGACTCTCACCTTCTTGACATTAACCCATAATTAACCACAGGGGTATTGAAATACCTGTAAAAAGGTCATTTTAACTTTCCACAGGGCCAATTCATAGCTACTAATGCCGGAGACTGCTCACACATTAACGAGACTCGCTTTTGCGAGTAGTTGCATGTTCAGAATTGAAACCAGCAACCATACCCTACAGAGCTTCAGAACTCTGCATATAAAGGCAAAATGCTTTCAAACACTCTGAACATATTTAATTGTGACAGTTTAAAGGGAACATCAGCTCAAACCTCTCCCTTCCCCCGCAAGCCCCTGATCTGTTGTTGCTCGGGGTACCCCCCCAGTGCAAGGTTAGAAGACGTTCTCCGGCTCGCCGGTCTAACCAGACACCGTGTCAGCACTGCTGCCTTACCCTGCCCTCCCGTTGTTTACCCGGTATTTCCATACGGCACCGGCACCTCCCCGCTCCGAGCAGCGC